GAGAGGCAGAGCAGCAAGGAGCAGAAGAAGGAGAGAAGAGGCAATAGCAAGGCAAGAAGGGCAGTTGGAGGGAGAGGCTTAAGGCCAGAGAAGACTCCGACACAGGGCAGCTTGCACCATTACGCTGACGCAGTGGCATATGGTCGAGCAGATCCTCACGCGGTTTCGCTTCCCGTTCTCCAAGGTACAGCTCACCCCTCTTGTTGTGGATCATGGGCTCATGGCTCCACCTTCGGACGAGTTGAGTCATTTGAGTCTAGTGGTCCATATCCTAAGTTGGTGAGTTGTCTCATGTACCTGATGACTTGTACTCGCTCAGACCTCGCTTTCCCTCTTAGCGTCCTGGCGCGCTTTGTTGCGCCTATGAGACACCGACCTTCCCACTGGTACGCGGCTAAGAGGGTGGCAAAGTATGTGGCAAGTACATCACGCATGGGACTTGTCCTTGGAGGGAAGCAGCCAGTTACACTTACAGGTTTCTCAAACTCGTCGTACGTGGATTGTTGCCAGACGTACATGTCTACTCGGGGTTACTGCTTTGGCCTTGAGACCGGAGCTGTCTCGTGGAGGTCGACTTGGGCGTCGTTCGTCGCTAACTCCAGCTTTGAGGCAGAGGTGTACGCTGCGGCCATGGCCGCCCAGGAGCTTCGCTGGCTGTCTTTCCTCCTTACCGACCTTGGTGAGCGGCCTCGCTCTCCCCCAGTCTTGTTCGCTGACAACAGGTCGACTGTCGTGTTGTGCGAGGAGCCTAGACTGGTTGGGAAGGCGAAGCATATCCAGCTTCGTTACTCCCTTATGCGCGAGTTGCAACAGCGTAGCCTGGCCCGCGTTGTCCGTGTGGTCTCTGAGGCCAACACTGCATATATCGTCACCAAGGCGTTGCCGCCTTGTGACCACCAGCGTTTTTGCACCCAGCTGGGCCTTCTGCCTTCCCGTCCTTTCTTGCTTACGTAGAGATGTTTGTCTTGCTTGTCTTGTACTCTTGAATCTCTTATACTTGCTATATATTTGCATGTGGGCTGGCCTTGTAACCCTTTGCTTGCTCTCATACTGTGTGGTGATCAGGGGTCTCGCTAGCATGAATTTTTGTCCAGTTTGTCTGATTATCATGCTTGTTTTTAGGGGTTTATCTGATATATCAGAGATTGCGTTTTATCATTTCTGATTGGAAAGGAATGTTTTTCTCATGGATCGTCCTCATCAGGCCCTCAGATTCGTTTTTTGCGTGTCTGATTCATCAGACTCGTACACAATTTTAGTCCGAAACCCTCAGAGTTGGTATAAAAAAAAATCTGAAATTTCAGAGTGCCTTAAAAAAAAAGTCTGAAACATCAATGTATCTATTCTTTCATCAGAAATGTATTCAGTGTTTCATCTGATACCGAAACATGCTAGACTAAGGGGATTTTCGTGAGAACATGCTCTGACAGGGCGAATTTCTCTGTCAGGGCGAATCTGGTGGTGTGAAAGAGCGAATCTGCACTGTCAGGTAGAATCTCTTGGTGATTGGTCGAAATTGTTGTGCTCTGACGGCGCAATTCTGTTGTGTCAGGGCGATTTTGCTGTGATTGGGCGAAAATCTTGTGCTGTAAGGCGCGGATTTGCTGTTTCAAGCCGATTTTGCATTGACAGTGCGAATCAGCTGTGACCCGTGAAGTCCGAACCGAATCACCAGTCAAGAACGCAAGCGGAAAACGGAATCGGTACGCGTTTGTGCTCTGAGTGATCAGAGTACACTCCTGGAAAACTCTGAAACGTCAGAGTTAGCTTTAAAATTTCTCTGAAAATTACAGAGTTGGGGCCCAAAAATCTCTGATTTTAACAGAGCTCACTTAAAGTTGCGGTCTACATACCTCGAGGGACAGGCCCTGGTTTATCACTTGAAAACAGGGTAGCAGACTCTCCAGAAGAAACGAACGATCTAGGCGGAAGGAGGGAGCGGGGTGGGCGCAAAACTTTTTGCTTGGTTGTTTGTGTTTGGCGCTGAAATTTCCGCCTTTCCGCGGATTTGTTCCCCCAAGAAAACCCAATCGCGAAATTGTTTCACATCGCCAACTTTGTGCGAACTCATCGCACAGGTGTTTGGGGGAAAACCACAATTCGCTCTCAAGTCATCGCGCACCAAAGGGTGTGCACCTAGATTACCCCCCAAAACCCCCTTTTAGTATGTAGACCGCAGCTTTAAAAAAAAATCTGAATTCTCAGAGTTTTTCATGCAAATCAGAGAAATTCCTCTGACTTCTGGGGGCCTGGTCCTCATCAACCTTGGCTTTTCTCTTGCCACGGTCTTTCTGCTTCCGGGGAGGCATGTTGATGCGGTCGTAGCTAGAAGCACACTAGAGTAGAGTTCTTCGTGTTGCCTGGTTGCTGTGGGATGGAATGCGCAAGAATATATATAGAGTTGGTAGTTGGGTTGATCGGCCATTTTCAGGTGCATGCAACTTAGCCTGGGAAATGTATTCAAGTGCATGCCATGTTATTCCGCATGTGTGTACACTTTACGCAGCTTAGAATGTTGTTATCGTAATATGATGCGCTTACCAAGATTCGTTTCGAATTAGCACAAACAGTCGAGAATAGATGCGATTACGGATTACGCAAAGCAAAATCGGGAATGGTTGGCTCTCGACTCTACATTTTCTGACGTCACCAGAAGAAATCATTGCATGTTTGCCCAATTTCGACGCGGATTTCTGCTTCGCCGCAACTCTTCTTGAACAAACTTTAATGCTAGATCAGCTGTACTATTGACACAGGTGACGAGCGCTGCGCATGGCAAATCAACATTTTTTTCTTGGGCGTGCAGAAGTTTGGAAAGGGTAATTCCATGAGAAGTCTGCCCGACTTTTTGTTGCCCCTACAAAAAAATAATGTTTTTACGGTACATGTATATTCTAATTGTTGGGATACCTTAGCTTTCATTACATAACATTTATAATACTTGTAGCGTATTTATTTTATAGCGGTAAAGGAAACTCAATAAAAACTAGGGCAGAATTTTCACGTTTCGGATCATCCTTTCTTAATTTCTGCACGCCCAAGAAACATTTGTTGATTTGCCCTGCGCAGCGTCCATCACCCGCGTCAACAGTACAAACGATGTAGCATTTAAGTTCGTTTGAGAAGAGCTGGGGCGAAGCAGAAATCCGCGTCGAAATTGGGCAAACATGCAATGATTGCTTCTGGTGACGTCAGAAAATGTAGAATCGAGAGCCAACCATTCCCGATTTCGCTTTGCGTAACCCGTAATCGCATCTATTCTCGACTGTTTGTGCTAATTCGAAACGAATCTTGGGACGCGCATCATATTACGATAACAAATTTCTAAGCTGCGTAAAGTGTACACACCTGCGGAATAACATGGCATGCACTTGAATACATTTCCCAGGCTAAGTTGCATGCACCTGAAAATGGCCGTTGGGTTGATGGTGAACCCTTTGCATTGCACCAGCGTTTTTGGTGTCCCTGGAGGCGGGGTTGTTGCACGTGCTGTTTTCGTGCAATTTCTTGTGGGTTGGCGCTGAGAATTTTGAGGGCGTGTGACATTTTTCAAAAACACTGAAAGTCTTGACGTTCGTCGGTCGCTTTGCGACGCAGACGACGTCGTACGGACAAAATGCGATGCACACGGCGTCGTTCAAAACTTCACGAGCTCGTTGGCGATCGTGAACGACTTTGGTAGCCACACAACCAGCCAGCCGGCTGGCCGTCCGGACGAAACAAATAAAAATTGTCACACGCCCTAACGCCCAGATCAACATTGGAATTGGGTCGTGCGACCAAATTTCAGCGCCAAAAGTGTCGTTTTGATGTGGCGGTTGGGTCGTGTGACCAGGGCCACAATTGCGACACTTTTGTGCAACCAATCAGGAACCCTAACATTTCGCGCATATTCTCTGACACCAACCCCGCGATAAACTTTCCCGCCTACCATCTACAGTGGCCCTGCCACCAGGCTGGAATACGCCCTTAGTCTCCACCAGCTAAACCTAGTCATTTTGGTAAAAATGTTTTCATTGGAATCTCAAAAGAGAGAGAAAATGTATGTGCTTGGAGACGCGGGGTATCGATCCCCGTACCTATCGCATGCAAAGCGATCGCTCTACCATGTGAGCTACACCCCCATATGTGTTATCTGGACAATCATATTTCATTAACTTACTCTAAGATCTTCAGTCCCTGATTTGCCAAATTTCTGTTTCACGATGCCGAAAGCGATGGGATCGCGGTCCGCGGGCCTGTGGATGATCATGGGACGCACACACGCACGCCATGCACCATCTCGTCGCCTGCCACTTTCGCTCGCGGCATTCGTCGTGGCGACGATGCTTTGCGACTGGCCGTGCGATTCGTCCAGCAAGATGGCATCGACGGTCGTGAGCGCTATGGAAGGGGCGGCGGGAATGGAGCACGCCATGTCGTTGTATCGGGTGAGACAACAGCGGGCGTGCGCGCAGGCAGCCGCCACTGCTCTTGCATCCAGCAGCGCCCCTCTCGGTACCGCTGTGAACCGCACTCGCTTCCTCCCTCCGCCACAGCCTTCCACGAACTGGAAGCGCCCTGCCCACCGTGTCGACCGTTCATGGCCCGCCCACCGTCGCCCTCTCGCCTTCTGCTGCCGCCCCTCAACCCCGCTCCTGCGATTCTTCCTCTCGCCGCCTTAACATGTCCTTCCGTTTTCCCGCTCCATCCTTGCTCGCTCTCCCTCCCCCTTCCCTTCCCCTCTCCCTTCCCATTCGCCTCCCCCACCCCCCTCCCTCCCTTCACTCCCCCCCCGACCCCCAAACACTCCCGCAGGCCTGGGCGGACGCCTACGGGCTCTCCGCCGACTCGCTGCTTCCGCCCTCCCCCCTCTCCCTTCCGCCCTCCCTTCCCCCCGCCCCTCATCTCGAGGACTGCGCCGCGCTCACAGCGCTGCGCCAGCAGGCGGAGCAGCGGGGGGAAGGGGGGGAGCCGCCAGCATGGGCGGAGCCCCCGCGGAGCAGCGAGGGCGGGTGCTGTCACCCTTGGGGCACATTGCATGCGGAACAATCACCCTCAGACCCCCTTTCCTCCTCCTCCTCCTCCTCCTCCTCCTCCTCCTCCTCCTCCTCCTCCTCCTCCTCCTCTTCCTCCTCTCCCTGCATCTGCCCTCCACAGCCACCGTGGGTGAGCAAGTGAGTGAGGGAGTGACGAGGACGAGGGGGGCATGTATGTTGGAAGCAGGTTGGGCTATGGGTGAGTGTGCGGGGATGAGGGAGAGAAGTTAAGTCAGTGCAGGGAGTGATGGTGAGGGAAGGGAAGTTAGTACGGTTGACTCACGCAGCAGCGTCGTTCATCCCATGTGCACTCCACTGCCCGCTCTCCGCCTCTCATTCCCTCCACCCCTTCGCCACTCTCACCATGCCACCACTGAGCCTTTCACCATGCCACCACTGAGCCTTTCACCATGCCACCACTGAGCCTTTCACCATGCCACCACTGAGCCTTTCACCATGCCACCACTGAGCCTTTCACCATGCCACCACTGAGCCTTTCACCATGCCACCACTGAGCCTTTCACCATGCCACCACTGAGCCTTTCACCATGCCACCACTGAGCCTTTCACCATGCCAGCCTACTCTGCATTCTGTACGGCAAGAGCGTGTCTGTACGTTCCCCGCCCTCTGTGCCCTTCCCCTTTTTTCCGCCTCCCATCTCTCTCCCTGTCTGTCCATTCTCCGTTGCTTGCATCTCTCCGCCTTTTCCTCCCTCCAGTCCACTCATCCCCGCCGTCCCCCCGACCGCCCTTCCCCGTACGCCCTTCCCCACCCGCCCTTCCCCACCCGCCCTTCTCCATGCGCCCTTCTCCATGCGCCCTTCTCCATGCGCCCTTCTCCATGCGCCCTTCTCCATGCGCCCTTCTCCATGCGCCCTTCTCCATGCGCCCTTCTCCATGCGCCCTTCTCCATGCGCCCTTCTCCATGCGCCCTTCTCCATGCGCCCTTCTCCATGCGCCCTTCTCCATGCGCCCTTCTCCATGCGCCCTTCTCCATGCGCCCTTCTCCATGCGCCCTTCTCCATGCGCCCTTCTCCATGCGCCCTTCTCCATGCGCCCTTCTCCATGCGCCCTTCTCCATGCGCCCTTCTCCATGCGCCCTTCTCCATGCGCCCTTCTCCATGCGCCCTTCTCCATGCGCCCTTCTCCATGCGCCCTTCTCCATGCGCCCTTCTCCATGCGCCCTTCTCCATGCGCCCTTCTCCATGCGCCCTTCCCCATGCGCCCTTCCCCATGCGCCCTTCTCCATGCGCCCTTCTCCATGCGCCCTTCTCCATGCGCCCTTCTCCATGCGCCCTTCTCCATGCGCCCTTCTCCATGCGCCCTTCTCCATGCGCCCTTCTCCATGCGCCCTTCCCATGCGCCCTTCCCCATGCGCCCTTCTCCATGCGCCCTTCTCCATGCGCCCTTCTCCATGCGCCCTTCTCCATGCGCCCTTCTCCATGCGCCCTTCTCCATGCGCCCTTCTCCATGCGCCCTTCTCCATGCGCCCTTCTCCATGCGCCCTTCTCCATGCGCCCTTCTCCATGCGCCCTTCTCCATGCGCCCTTCCCCATGCGCCCTTCCCCATGCGCCCTTCTCCATGCGCCCTTCTCCATGCGCCCTTCTCCATGCGCCCTTCTCCATGCGCCCTTCTCCATGCGCCCTTCTCCATGCGCCCTTCTCCATGCGCCCTTCTCCATGCGCCCTTCCCCATGCGCCCTTCCCCATGCGCCCTTCTCCATGCGCCCTTCTCCATGCGCCCTTCTCCATGCGCCCTTCTCCATGCGCCCTTCTCCATGCGCTGCGCCCTTCTCCATGCGCCCTTCTCCATGCGCCCTTCTCCATGCGCCCTTCTCCATGCGCCCTTCTCCATGCGCCCTTCTCCATGCGCCCTTCTCCATGCGCCCTTCTCCCATGCGCCCTTCTCCATGCGCCCTTCCCATGCGCCCTTCCCATGCGCCCTTCCCATGCGCCCTTCCCCATGCGCCCTTCCCCATGCGCCCTTCCCCATGCGCCCTTCCCCATGCGCCCTTCCCCATGCGCCCTTCCCCATGCGCCCTTCCCCATGCGCCCTTCCCCATGCGCCCTTCCCCATGCGCCCTTCCCCATGCGCCCTTCCCCATGCGCCCTTCCCCATGCGCCCTTCCCCATGCGCCCTTCCCCATGCGCCCTTCCCCATGCGCCCTTCCCCATGCGCCCTTCCCCATGCGCCCTTCCCCATGCGCCCTTCCCCATGCGCCCTTCCCCATGCGCCCTTCCCCATGCGCCCTTCCCCATGCGCCCTTCCCCATGCGCCCTTCCCCATGCGCCCTTCCCCATGCGCCCTTCCCCATGCGCCCTTCCCCATGCGCCCTTCCCCATGCGCCCTTCCCCATGCGCCCTTCCCCATGCGCCCTTCCCCATGCGCCCTTCCCCATGCGCCCTTCCCCATGCGCCCTTCCCCATGCGCCCTTCCCCATGCGCCCTTCCCCATGCGCCCTTCCCCATGCGCCCTTCCCCATGCGCCCTTCCCCATGCGCCCTTCCCCATGCGCCCTTCCCCATGCGCCCTTCCCCATGCGCCCTTCCCCATGCGCCCTTCCCCATGCGCCCTTCCCCATGCGCCCTTCCCCATGCGCCCTTCCCCATGCGCCCTTCCCCATGCGCCCTTCCCCATGCGCCCTTCCCCATGCGCCCTTCCCCATGCGCCCTTCCCCATGCGCCCTTCCCCATGCGCCCTTCCCCATGCGCCCTTCCCCATGCGCCCATCCGGCCCCCCACATCCCCCAAGGTGCGGGGGGCGGACGGCAACAGCCTGGCAATGACGCGCCAATCACAGCGCGACATCTGGCTGCACCAGATGCTGCCGCCCCGCGCCTGCCAGGGCCGGCGCCTGCTGCTCGTGCCATGGAGCACAGGCATGTACCATGGCGTGGGGTCGCAGGTGAGCACAGGCATGTACCATGGCGTGGGGTCGCAGGTGAGCACGGGCATGTACCATGCTGCATGCTGCATGTGCCGTGTGGAACACAGCTGTGCACAACGGGGTGAGCAGGGCGGATGGGAGTGTTTCTTCTTCCCCATCGTCGCCCCGGACTGCGAGGACGAGCTCAACCGCCTGCGGGCGCAGGACGCCATCGGGGACTGTGTCACGGGGGAGGAGCTTGGGTATGATAGGGCTGCGCAGTCGGAGCAGCAAGTGAGTGAGTGGGGCTGGTGGGGGCGGTAGGCAGGTTGGCAGAGAGGAGGAGAGGAGATGCCAGTGGGGTGTGCGTTACGGGGGAGGAGCTGGGGTTCGATAGAGCCGCACAGTCGGAGCAGCAGGTGCGTGTGGGCATGTGGCAAGAAGGGGTGTTGGCGTGTGCGGGAGGTCGCGGTGCTGGTTCGCAAGCCCCATGGGAGGAGCTGCGGCATGGGAGGAGCTGCGGCATGGGAGGAGCTGCGGCATGGGAGGAGCTGCGGCATGGGAGGAGCTGCGGCATGGGAGGAGCTGCGGCATGGGAGGAGCTGCGGCATGGGAGGAGCTGCGGCATGGGAGGAGCTGCGGCATGGGAGGAGCTGCGGCATGGGAGGAGCTGCGGCATGGGAGGAGCTGCGGCATGGGAGGAGCTGCGGCATGGGAGGAGCTGCGGCATGGGAGGAGCTGCGGCATGGGAGGAGCTGCGGCATGGGAGGAGCTGCGGCATGGGAGGAGCTGCGGCATGGGAGGAGCTGCGGCATGGGAGGAGCTGCGGCATGGGAGGAGCTGCGGCATGGGAGGAGCTGCGGCATGGGAGGAGCTGCGGCATGGGAGGAGCTGCGGCATGGGAGGAGCTGCGGCATGGGAGGAGCTGCGGCATGGGAGGAGCTGCGGCATGGGAGGAGCTGCGGCATGGGAGGAGCTGCGGCATGGGAGGAGCTGCGGCATGGGAGGAGCTGCGGCATGGGAGGAGCTGCGGCATGGGAGGAGCTGCGGCATGGGAGGAGCTGCGGCATGGGAGGAGCTGCGGCATGGGAGGAGCTGCGGCATGGGAGGAGCTGCGGCATGGGAGGAGCTGCGGCATGGGAGGAGCTGCGGCATGGGAGGAGCTGCGGCATGGGAGGAGCTGCGGCATGGGAGGAGCTGCGGCATGGGAGGAGCTGCGGCATGGGAGGAGCTGCGGCATGGGAGGAGCTGCGGCATGGGAGGAGCTGCGGCATGGGAGGAGCTGCGGCATGGGAGGAGCTGCGGCATGGGAGGAGCTGCGGCATGGGAGGAGCTGCGGCATGGGAGGAGCTGCGGCATGGGAGGAGCTGCGGCATGGGAGGAGCTGCGGCATGGGAGGAGCTGCGGCATGGGAGGAGCTGCGGCATGGGAGGAGCTGCGGCATGGGAGGAGCTGCGGCATGGGAGGAGCTGCGGCATGGGAGGAGCTGCGGCATGGGAGGAGCTGCGGCATGGGAGGAGCTGCGGCATGGGAGGAGCTGCGGCATGGGAGGAGCTGCGGCATGGGAGGAGCTGCGGCATGGGAGGAGCTGCGGCATGGGAGGAGCTGCGGCATGGGAGGAGCTGCGGCATGGGAGGAGCTGCGGCATGGGAGGAGCTGCGGCATGGGAGGAGCTGCGGCATGGGAGGAGCTGCGGCATGGGAGGAGCTGCGGCATGGGAGGAGCTGCGGCATGGGAGGAGCTGCGGCATGGGAGGAGCTGCGGCATGGGAGGAGCTGCGGCATGGGAGGAGCTGCGGCATGGGAGGAGCTGCGGCATGGGAGGAGCTGCGGCATGGGAGGAGCTGCGGCATGGGAGGAGCTGCGGCATGGGAGGAGCTGCGGCATGGGAGGAGCTGCGGCATGGGAGGAGCTGCGGCATGGGAGGAGCTGCGGCATGGGAGGAGCTGCGGCATGGGGGATTTGAGCAGTGCAGCACAGCAGCAGGTGGGGAATGCTTATCTGCCTTCCCCCCCCTCCTGCCCCGCCCTGACTGCCTCACCCTGTGTGTGCCCCACTTGAGGCGGTGTGCCTGGACCTCACCACGGACGTCTCACGCCGTGCAACGGGGAGATGCTTGTCCACCTCGTGCCTCTCTCCTCTGCCTCACCCTTGTGCCCCCCACCAGGCGGTGTGCCTCGATCCCACCACGGACGTCTTCATGAGCTACGAGGGCCGGGCAGCATCGCTGTGGGGCGATGCATACCTGGTGGACGCTGACGTGGTGGAGCATGGCGGCCACGTGGCGCCTACCAGCGCCGACACCAAGATGGTGAGGTGGGGCAGGCGGAGCAGGCGGGGCACGTGGGGCAGGTGGGGCAGGTGGGGCACGTGGGGCACGTGGGGCACGTGGGGCACGTGGGGCACGTGGGGCACGTGGGGCACGTGGGGCAGGCGGTCACGAGCAGAGGCACAGGTGGGCCAGGCGGTCAGTCCTTCGAGTTCCGTGCCTTTGGTGCTGCCAGTATGAGAGCTGTGGTGAGGTATGCCAGTATGCGAGACATGAGTGCAGGTACGAGATCCATGGTAATGGTTGCATACAACTTGCTTCACCTCCACTTGGGGATCCCCCCGATTAAACCCATTTCCCCTGCCCCACGTCTCCCTCCCACCCACCCAATAAAGGTGCACTGGTGGCGGGCGCAGGCGGTGCGCTTCATGCTGAGGTGGCCATCAGCCCATCTCTGCCACGTCATCAACCAACAGAGACACACCGCCTATGGCATGCACGTCGCCAATCGCATCGCTTCGCTCCACGCCTCCTCTCACTCCTCTCACTCGACCACTCCCCCATCCTCTTCCCCTTCCTCTCACCTCTCCTCGCTCCATGCCTTCTCACTCGCTCTCCAGCATTATGAGTCTTGTGGTACTGATGCTTCACCTCCTGCCACTGCCACTGCTGCTGCTGCTTCTGCTGCTGCTGGCACTTTTGGCAGTAACACTCTTGAGGATCCCCTACCAACCACCAGCACTCTTTGGCACCGCATGTCACCGCCCAGCACACCCACAGACCTAGCCAGAGAGCCATACATGCAGCGACCGGTGGTGAGCATGCACGTGAGGCAGAGCGACAAGCTATCAGAGATGAGGGTGCTGTCGCTGCCCGCCCACATGTTCCTCGCCTACCGCCTTCGCCGGGCGCTGGTGGACCTCCGACACGTGTGGCTGAACACGGAGGCACAGGTGGGTGGGACATGCACTCTGGTACCCTTGTGCTGTGTGTTGTGGATCTCCCTGTGAGCCACAACACACCGCAGTGCATGTGGGGCGTGTGTGGGTGAACACCGAGGATCGGGTAGCGCCAAGCCAATATGGACCCCTGTTCTTGGTGGTGAGGTGAACGCACGGGACAAGGGCCCCCCCTGCGGTGTCAACTTAATGTGGCGTTTTTCCAACTCGTGTCCATTACGGGCCATCAGGCAAGACCAGGAGTATGCCACGTGCTCCTTACCCATGCTACAGAACCCTTGGGTTCGTCCTTTTGTCATCACATATAAGACATGTGCCCCATGCCTTGTCAACATGCCACACTCTACACCCATCCCTTGCACACTCAACATTCCCACAGTCCCACATATCAGTGCAGCCCCCTCCCCTCCAACCCGGTCCCCCTCATGGTGCAGTCAGTGATCAACGAGACGGCGTACTACCCCGACTGGCACTTCCTCTTCGCCACCAACGCCCGCCAGCCCTCCCACTCGGAGCGCAACCGCGAGTACGACGCCGCACAGTCCGTGGCTGCCAGCCTGGCGAGTGCGCTCATAGCAGCGCAGTGCAATGTGTTCGTGGGGTCGCTGGGGTCCAACTGGAGCCGCCTCATCAACGAGCTCAGAGCTACCAGTGGGCGGCTGTATAGTGGATTCGTGGCCACGAACCTGGGCGAGTGGTAACCGGATATTACAGTGTTGTTAAATTACATATCGGAGATATACATTAAGGGAGGCAACAGGATGGTACATCCCATGATTTGTTCAGAAGCTAACCAATCTAGAAGCTTCCATATCCCAGGCCAGGTATGTGGTTCAACTCTAACAATATCGACTGTACAGTGCATAGGAAGGTCATCCGGACATCCTGCTTGCATGGATGACAGGGGGGTGGTCAGTCCCCTCAAGCTTGCTGCTCTGCCTCACCACAGGCAGCCCACTCTGCTCCCATGCGATGATACCCCCCTTGAGATCCACGAGCCTTGTGAATCCCTGCGATGCACACAGCAGCACAAGCAAGTCAAAGTGGTCATGCCACGGAGCAAGGATCACATGCACGGGACAAGAGGGTGTGCTTCTGCATACGTCAACATCACATTCCCCCCATGCTCACCTGGGCAGTCATCTCCCACGCTGCCAGGTTTGACCTCCTGCCGCTGCGACAGGCCTGAAAGGGGGAGGGGGGATTGGGGGGGGGGGGGGGGAAGGGGGGGGGGGGCGGGGGTTGTGGCGGAACAAAGGGAGCACAGATGGTGAGCTTGAATGGCGTAGTTGTATCATGTGCTGTTGAGAAGAAGGTGCAGCACATGATAGTAAGGTGGGACGCGAGAGATGAGTTGCTTCACGGAATGCGAGGGAAGGCGGGTATAGAGGTATACCACAATGAGGGGCGTATCGAGGGCGTATTTATTCTTCACTTGCTGCAGGTAATCGGGATTAGGCTGCGGAGAACCTGCAGAGCAAGTCACAGCGGTTTAGAGTTGGGTACGTGGAGCTGCATCTCAGAACACGCATCACACACTGAATTGCGACATAAAATCCGATGGGAGAGCGAAACGTGATGTTGGGGAAAAGGTACAGAAAATTAACCGAAAAGGAGAAAATGAGAGAGAAACTCCGCCGGGAAGATGGTGGGGACGGGACGTACCGTCGGGTGCGGTGATGAAGTAGGGGATGAGGTCGGAGCCCGGCACGTGCACCTGCGCGAACTCCTCTGCCGTTCTGCACCGCCGCGCAATGCAAGCACCACGCACGTGGCACGGGATAGCATGGAGGAAGGGTCCAAACGAAACTCTCATCATGAGACAAAATTTGCGACGGATGCTGAAGCGAAAGAGAGCCTTTTATCCCGTCATGTGCAAGACGCGTTGAGACGCCTCGCAACGCGCTTCAACTCTTCCGACTCTTCACCTGACGTCCAGGTAGACGTAGCCTTGCTGCTCCACGAGCCGATTGACCTCCAGCGGCGGCAGCACGGGGAATGGCGGCGGCGCCATGATCGCGGCTGCCTGCAGGTCGCGGTACCGCGACACGGTGGAGAGCGCGACGAGCAGCAGCGCCGACACGGCGAACACGCGACCAACCGTCGCTGGTAGCACCCTGAGAGACGTGGGCAGCAGATTGTTGATGGTCGAAGCTGGTGGCTGTGCCGCGCTTGAGCATGCGAGGTCAGGGACGCTGTAGGCGAGTGAGAGGTCTGGGCTGTCCGCGGTGCGCGGGGAGGACTCTACATGCGCCTTTGGGCTTGAGAATGTCATTTTGCCAGGAAAGGCTGGGCATTCATTTCAGGGCGAGTGCCAGAGTCGTTTCGACGCGACGAGCAGGAGATTTCTACAGAGAGAAGGGTGAGAGATTTGAAATACTGCCGCCAGCACGGCGAGAAATCAGCGCGTGCAAGCTCTGCTGAAATTCTGTGGATATATTGCGTTGCGTCCGCCATCGGAGTTTCGAAGCTGCTATGAATGCCAACCAAGCGAGGGGAAACAAAACGAGATTGCACGGTTGCGAGGCAACGGAGCCTGTATTGGACGCGCTAGGTTCAATGCAAGTGGATGCTGCTGGGATGATAAACGCTGAGCAGCGGATGGTGCAAATGAATCGTTGGCCGAATACATTGCATTGCAATGTGACATTGCAGCGTGGAGCTGGCGAATGCTAGACGGGGCAAGTGCAGAGTGCGCATCGAGACGAGGCGCGCCGCTTGAATTAATTTAGATTAGTACACCCTTACTTTCAGTGGGGCTCATTAGGAGCAAGCCTTGCCTAAATTCTTAAGTTAATACAACATTCTTCCTATTTCATAAAGAGTTACCATTTCCATGTAAGGAAAGTCTCCTATTGATGAACCAACGAACCTTCCCATGCCAACATTCCGCCCTCCATATCCGCAAGTGATGTGTAGCCCTGCCAAAATACGAATGTCACGCTATCAGACAAGCCACGTATCATCTTGTCCAGAAAAAATGCACCCACAGTTCCATTTCTCACCACTTCTCTAAGGACGTTCGCAGCCATATTTGACCGTTTTCCACTTCGACAAGCCTGGAAATGAAGTACACAGTAATTTGGTGAGAAAACGTGATGCTGTGAATTGAAAAAAAAGGTTTACGGGGCAAATGATGCATTACATACAGATGCCCTGGTTGTTGGATATCATACCAGAACAAGGGGTGTGCTGGTCGAGTACTTTCCCTTGACTTGATCCAGGAACTCCGCGTTTTTTACCATGGATCCTGGAACATTACACATGCGATGTAAAGATAAGCAGCAGATTGAGCTCTGACATTAGGTTACGGTAGTCTGGCCCTGAACATGCACAAACTATTCCTTCCTTTAAAAAAACTGGATATGTGTAACTGAGGTTGTAAGCATGGTTTCCACAAACTGTCGGCATTCATACCTGACAGCTTCAACCCAACCTTCTTGAACCGTGCTACGGCACAGAACGGTGTGAGGCCATGCCTCAATGAAATGTCCGACGCAAAATAACGTTTTCTGCCATCAGCGGAAGGCGGCGGGACACGGCTTACCGTCAGAAGCGGAGAGCATGTAAGGAATGTTGATGGATCCCGCGACGTGCCCCGTTGCATATTCCTGAGGTGTTCTGCACGGCAGCGCGGAACAAGCTGGTGAATCTTCTGGTATGAGACATGTCAGAACTGAAGCAACGCGAACGACTCGTGGAGATAACCTTGAACAGTCCGCAACACAAGGACCGCAAACTAAATATTGACTTCAATAATTAATTTCTGAAATAACTACACGCCGACATTTTCTCACCTAACATCGAGAAAGACGTGACCAGACTCGACCAGCTGTTTCGCTTCGGAGGGTGGGACGACACGAACGGCGTCAGCCATTTGAAGTGCGACTGGAGGCGGACTTAAATCGACGAAATAGCACGAGCTAAGAATATAAAATAGGGGAAATGAACAGGTTGGACGAGAAGGAGGAGGTGTAAACATGTGGCGGTGTCGATCGGGGGAGGGGAAAATGAAGGAAACTGCAGAGGCATCTCCGTCCAGAAGCCATCGCGTCTGCCTCTGAACAACCCAACAGAAAAAACAACCATTTCGAGGAAGAAGGGGCACTCAAGGATACTGTTTCTCTACCCTGACGATGTGCAGAAAGAGACTGCCTATGACTGCCTCGGATGTCCAGGCGATCACCGAGATACATAGTGCACCAATTGCCATAAGCCGACTCGATCTGTGCGGAAGTTAATAAAATCCAAGTGTGCGGAAGTTATTAAAATCACTCTTATACAAGTGGAAGATATGGAGGGTATACTATTTAGTGTAAAAGAACCTGATTTCAGGGAAAGGGTGATAGTGCTGGGGGTCCATAATTATAAGTAACGGACTGTACTTTCAGTTTCCACTCATATCGGCACTCTGAGAATTTAGGATAGGCGTGTACTTGCAACAACTATTATTGTCAAGATTCTATTGAGAATTACGTACGCGCGCGCGCACACACACACACACACACACACACACACACACATACACACACACACACACATACACACACACACATACACACACACACACATACACACACACACGCGCGCACGCGCGCGCGCGCACACACACAGAGAGCAGCAGCAGCAGCAGCAGCAGCAGCAGCAGCAACAACAACGACAGCAGCAGCAGCAACAGCAACAGCAACAGCAGCAGCAGCAGCAGCAGCAACAGCAGCAATAGCAGCAGCAGCAGCAACAACAACAACAGCAGCAGCAACAGCAGCAACAGCAACGGCAACAGCAACGGCAACAGCAACGGCAACCACAGCGGCAACCACAGCGACAACCACAGCGACAACCATAGCGACAACCACAGCGACAACCACAGCGACAACAACAACGACAACAACAACGACAACAACATCAAAACCAACACCAACTGCACCAACAGGTCGACGCAACAAATTGCGGGACGTAATTGTCAGAGGTCCACTGGTGATCCCCGATTGATCCTAGGGAAGGGTTACAGGCATGTTGTCCTGGGGGGTTATGGGCGCAATGACCCGCCACTTAACAAGCCCTTTGATCCCAATGGTCTAGTGGTTGGGATTCTGACATGCTATCAGAGCGAAGGTCTCGGGTTTGGATCCCAGTGTGTGCACTTCGGGCATCCCATTGCGGGGGGGTGTCAGAGGTCCACTGGTGATCCCCGATTGATCCTAGGGAAGGGTTACAGGCATGTTGTCCTGGGGGGTTATGGGCGCAATGACCCGCCACTTAACAAGCCCTTTGATCCCAATGGTCTAGTGGTTGGGATTCTGACAGTAATTTGCGTGGCAAAAATGTTTCCTAAACTCATAAAAATCTTCAGACCATGCCAATGTAACGGGCTGTACATTATGCATCGACTGTCCAATCATGATGCGACACTAACATTAAACCCAGTCACACACGACTGCACAGCCGCGTCTGTACGGAGAGCGTGAATGAGCTTCTGCCCTGCATGGAACCTCGTCCAAGATCTCGCAACGAGCACATCCACTCCCTTGTCGTGTCGACATGAGACGTGATGGGGAACATCTAGAACCCCTCCACTCCCCCCCCCCCCCCCCCCCCCCCCCGCCCCCCCCTTCTCCATACTCTCCAATATTTTCGTGAAGCTCTAAGAAGCTCTTATAAACAAAATACAGGGGAATGCTTCAATTAGGAAGTAAGGGTGGTACAAATATGAAACCTAATGTGTTATACCCCCTACATGATATTTCACTACAGCCTAACACCAATACATATAGTTTGACACACCCCCATAGACTAAGTGAGGGATAACAAGAGAGAGCAAGAAACATAAATGGTCACAAGACCAGTCAAGAGAAGCAACAACACAAAGCTCAGGGTGGATAACGAAGTCACCACACAGTCTGAGCACAAGCAAGTGACTACAAGGCCAGTTCAAGAGTTTACAAGTATATAAAAATGCAAGGACAAACATAACAAGAAAAAGGGGGAAGATGTCAAATGTTATTATTATGATAGGCTGCAGTGAGGTACTCCTTAGAGGGTATAACTTTGTTAGGCTTCCTATTTGTATTGCCTCCCTACCCTAATCCAACCATTCCGTTGCATGTTACTCTTGAGATGGTATCGAGTAGGTTAGTTCCTAGCTCACTCCGCACCCTAGCCTCCACGCTCGTAGCGCCCTCCGTGCCCGTTGCGCCCTAGCGCCCTAGCGCCCTCCGCGCCCTCCGCGCCCTCCGCGCCCTCCGCGCCCTATCGACCGTCGCGCTCTAGCGCCCTCCACTTCCGCGCCTTAGCGCCCTCCGCGCCCCTAACCCGCGCCCTCGCGGCCCTCGCGCCTTAGCGCCCTCCGCGTCCCTAGCCCGCATTCTCGGCCGTCGAGCCTTAGCGCCCTCCGCGCCCCTAGCCCGCGCCGTCGCGGACCTCCGCGCCTAGCCCGCGCCTCCGCGCCTAGCCCGCCACTCCGCGCCTAGCCCACGCCTCCACGCCTAGCCCGCCACCTCAGCGCCTAGCCCGCGCCTCCACGCCTAGCCCGCCACCTCAGCGCCTAGCCCGCACCTCCGCGCCCACGCCTAGCTCGCGCCCTCACCCAACCCCCCTCCTTACCGTGACGGCACTACCTCCTCGTCTCGTGCGCACCCACCCGCACTAGGCACGTGGTACATTCCCCTCCACCGCCCAGTTCCCCGGGCCCACGCCGTTCCTACTGCCACTGGTCTTCCGTTCAGCGGCTGTCAGCCGCTTTACTCTCCGGTCGCCCGATTTAGAACCTTTTTGCGCCTAGCTCCTAGCCTCTAGCCCCTAGCCCAGTTCTCTTCGTACTTTTCGACCGCTCCATCCCTGGCGTTCCTAGCGGTTTCACAGCTAGCTTAGGTTGCTCCATGCTCCGGCTGTTTCTAGCCTACCCTCCCGCCGCTTCCATTTCGATGCAGAGGGTCGTCCGATAGAGTTCGGCACCTGGCTCCGCCAGACTCAGCGCTACCTCACCAGTCAGCGCCAGGACGGCGCCACCCTGTACGCCTACGCGTCCGGCGCCCTCCAGGCACCCCGGCGCCCCGAGCCCCTACCTTGTCAAACTTATATGCTGCTTATTGTGTAGGCTATAGTGGGGTAGCCCATATGGGGTACAACCCAATTAGGGTTTGCTACTTGTACCCATCTTGCTGCTAGTTCAATCATTCTCGCTTACTGATTCAGACATGGTTTCAGAGCAGGTCCTGACCTAGGACCGTTTTTTTAGGGCCCACCGAATCGTTTCCTGCCCGTAGCGCCCTACCGTGTCCGTCGCGCTGCCCCACCAGTCGTGTTACCGTGCCCGCGCGCCGCCTTGCTGGCTGCCGCGCTGCCTTGCCCTGCCCTGCGTTGCGCTGCCTAGCGCGCGCTCTGCCCTGCCTTGCGTTGCGCCGCCCTGCGCACGCCCTGCCCTGCGTCGCACTGCCCGCGCACGCCCTTCCCTGCCCCGCGTCGCGCTGCCCCGCGCACGCCCTGCCCTGCTCCACGTTGCGCTGCCCCGCGCACGCCCTGCCCTGCCCCGCGTCGCGCTGCCCCGCGCAAGCCCTGCCCTGCTCCGCGTCGCGCTGCCCCGCGCACGCCCTGCCCTGCCCCGCGTCGCGCTGCCCCGCGCACGCCCTGCCCTGCCCCCCGTCGCGCCGCCCCTGCAGCCCGCGCGCCGCCCTTGCAGCCCGCGCGCTGCCCCTGCAGCCCGCACGCCGCCCCTGCAGCTCACGCGTCGCCCCTGCAGCTCGCGCGCCGCCCCTGCAGCCCAGCGCGCCCCGCTGCCCAGCGCGCCAGCGCGTCCCGCTGCCCAGCGCGCCAGCGCGCCCCGCTGCCCAGCGAGCCAGCGCGCCCCGTTGCCTAGCGCGCCAGCGCGCCCCGCTGCCTAGCGCGCCAGCGCGCCCCACTGCCCAGTGCGCCAGCGCGCCCCTCTGCCCAGCGCGCCAGCGCGCCCCGCTGCCCAGCGCGCCAGCGCGCCCTGCTGACCAGCGACCAGCGCGCCCTGCTAAACCCTAAAAAAAAGAAAAAAGAAAAAAAAAAG